ACTTAATTAGGCGACTAATTAACAGACTTTCTTCGCTTGGTCCAAACTCCGTATTGGCCGACTCAACCGATGGCGGACCAACCGACTGCGAACCAAGCGACTGCAAACCATCCGATCCGACTGAGACCATCCGACCTGCCTATCCGACCACGGACTTTCCGACATGCCTATCCGACCGCGGACATTCCGACCTGCCTATCCGACCACGGACTTTCCGACCTGCCTATCCGACCGCGGACCTTCCGACCTGCCTATCCGACCACGGACTTTCTGACCTGCCTATCCAACCGAGGACCAACCGACCTATCTGTCCGACCGCGGACCTGTCAACCTGCCTGTCCGACCGCGGACCTTCCGACCTGCTTATCCGACTGCGGACCAACCGACCAGAGTGCATATTTTCTCATTTTCCGCCCGACTTCGTGTCCTAACTTCCTTTAAGATCCTGCTATTATTATTATTATTATTATTATTATTATTATTATTATTATTATTATTATTATTATTATTATTATTATTATTATTTGTATGTAACAACTTGCCTCCTCCGCAAGACTCCTAAGCGTCATTTCTCATGATGTTTAGGAGTTAGCAGGCCGTCATCCGAGGCAACGTCAGCCTCAGATCCGACCTCCATCTTTCAAGGCTACGTTGGACCCGACCTCCATTTATCGCGGACTGGTGCTGGCCTGCATGTTGTTCGATCTTGCACTATCATTTCTTCAACACCTTCCCCCCTGACAGAAGTCGTGATCATTTTCTCTAAAAAGGGATTCTAACCTCCTCGCCTTGGATGCTAAACTGGCCAGATCTTGAACGTCGTGGGCCGTTAAAGCCTCCCGCAGTCGTGTATGCATATTCCTGACCACCAGGTTGGTCATTTCGCTCTCCTCAATGACTGTCGGGCAACGCCCCTTTATTAGACGTGTCCTTTCGATGAACTGTGAGGCTGTCTCTTCTGGATATTGTTTCATTTCCAACAAATCGGAAAGAGAGACGGCTGGTAACGGGTTGAAGAATCTAACATGGAACGCCATCTCTAAACCTTCCCAGGTTTGTATTTGCCCAGGTGGCAGATTTACAAACCATGAAAAAATTGTCCTGGTAAGAGACAAACCAAATAGTTGCAGTTTATAAAAAGGGTTATTATCGACTTCTCCTAACTGTGCTGTGAACCGACCCACATGCTCTATGGTGGACGATCCGTCTTCTCCCGAGAAAGCATGAAAGTCTGGCGGTCGATAATTCTTTGGGAGAGGAAAATCGTTAATGATCCTTTCTGGAAAAGGTCTTTGATATGCCGTTCTATTCACCGTTTGCGGATTCATTCCGAAATGCACCCGCAGAACTTTAGCGATGTATTCCGGATCTACTCTGGGTGGAACATGGTCGAATACAGGAATGAGATTATGAGCTTGTCCCCCCAACCTCTCTTCTCTGGGGACGGTTGGCTCGGCTGGGATGGGATTGTGAGCTTGTCCTTCCAATCTTTCTTCTCTGGTGACGGTTGGCTCGGCTGGGATGGGATTATGAGCTTGTCCCCCCAATCTTTCTTCCTTTACGATATTCGGCTGAGTATTATCAACTCTTGGTCCCAAAGGAACATTATCTGGGGAAGTTAGAGGAGTCTTCCCCATATTTGTTCGGTTGAAAGTTGTGACGCTTGGAAATGTATTATCAACATATGTTGGCCCTGCAAACGTTGATCCTGGAAAAGTTGACTGAAAGCGAGAAGGTGACAAGGCTTGAGGCATGTTTGAATGTAGTGTGAATTTAGAGAACGTCTGATCCAACATGTTCTGCATTAGATTTTTTTGTTCACGCAACATGAGGTTTTGCTGCTCACGCAACATGTTTTGCGATGACCAAAATTTGCTTATTGTTCAATTGTTTAACATAAGACACCCAATCGGTAGGTACTTGTGGTGTTTCCCCTGCATTCGGTATAGCAGGTGGTGAAATTATTTCTCCTACCGGTGTTGAAGACGCTTGAGGTTGTGAACCTGCCATATGGATCCTTCTAATGATTCGGCCAGACCTCAATCGTATAAAATTCTCTATTGACGTAGGATCAGCAATCTTATCTTTCTCCCACTGTGGTCGCCAATTTGTTGATGTAAATTTTTCAACAATAAAAAGTAAAATCCGAAAATAAGAAATTATCTCCGAATTTGATATAATTAGTGCCGGATATTAGGAATCTCAAAACATTGTACGGTACATAAATAAACTGGAAAATAAATGCTACCGACTGAAAATTAAAGAATGATCCCCAAATCACTGACTTTGTTGTCGTTTGAAGATGATTGAAGATACTCTGCCAGTTGCTGACCCCAATCCTTAAATATTCCTCAGAAGAGATGTTTCGGAACCGTCGCCAGGAACCGCCGTCAACTGCCCACAACGAAATATTTTGAAACGTCGTCTGGTCAGTTACGACAACTGTCTCGCCAACCGCATAACCCAACCAACCAATCCAGAGACTAACTGGTCGCTAGACCAAACGACTCATTGGTCGCCCCATCAAGCGACCACCCTCTGGTCTTTCCAGACGATTCAATGGTCGCCCCAACCAAGCGACTGAACTACTGTTCACTTAATTAGACGTCTAATTAACAGACCTTCTTCGCTTGGTCCAAACTCCGTATTGGCCGACTCAACCGATGGCGGACCAACCGACTGCAAACCATCCGATCCGACTGCAGACCATCCGACTTGCCTATCCGACCACAGACTTTCCGACATGCCTATCCGATCCCTGACCTTCCGACCTGCCTATCCGACCACGGACTTTCCGACCTGCCTATCCGACCGCAGACCTTCCGACCTGCCTATCCGACCATTGACTTTCTGACCTGCCTATCCGACCGAGGACCAACCAACTTGCCTGTCCGACCGCGGACCTTTCGACCTGCCTGTCCGACCGCGGACCTTCCGACCTGCTTATCTGACTGCGGACCAACCGACCGTGGACCAACCGACCTGAGTGCATATTTTCTCCTTTTCCGCCCGACTTCGTGTCCTAACTTCCTTTAAGATCCTGCTACCATTATTATTATTATTATTATTATTATTTTTGTACGTAACAAATTTATTTTCTCGATTGATAATATATATTTTGTTTCGATCATCTCTGGTTGCACTCCAAATATGCGTCATTCTTCCATGACCGACTAGGAATTCATTTCCTCTTATTCTCAGTTGAATGGAAATTAAATTCGTTTAAAATAATATCGATTAAAAACTCAAATAACACCGATAAATAATTATATGCTTTGTAGAATATATCAGCTTTTAGTTTTACATTTTATTTATATTATATTAATATAAATAATATATTTCATATAATAACATCATATACTTTTCTATAATTCATTGTATACTATTAATATAAATAATAACTGTCGCCACTATTACGTATAAAACTATAAATAAATATATTGTTGAAGATTAAATTCTAAACCCACGATCTGTCGTGTATAATTAAAATAAAAGTAAAACAAAATAAATCTAACTTTATTCCTTAGCATAGCCGGATTCAGATATGCAAATTTAACGAACAGTATTGTGTTCTTAAAGCTAATGACGCAACTCCTCTTGAAAAAACCGCTAAGATTTAGGGTTTCTGCCGTTATATGAAAAATAATGGCCGTTGCCCTAATTTATACCCCTCCGTCCCAGTACAATAGTCTTGTTTACTATTTTTGTCCGTCTCAAAACAATAGTCTTATTTCCATAAATAACTATATCACTATAAGACTACCCTTACTCTTTCATTATTATTACACAATTGTCACTACCTTTTACACAATACACTCACAAGGGCAAAAATATCTTTTACCTATATTTTTTACTCACTAACACAACCAAGACTATAGTTCCGGGACAGAGGGAGTATCAATGGGCTTCATCACTCAATTAATAAGTTACCCGATATATGCACATAGGAGATCCGTGTTTACTAAGGGGTGTTTGGCAAATAGCTTTTTGAAGAGCTTTTAGCTTTTTGAAAAGCTTTTAGCTTATTGAATAGCTTTTAGCTGTTTGACCAGTTAAAAAACTAATTTAGATGTTTGGTAAATTAGCTTTTTAGAATAGCTTTTTGGACCAAAAAAGTTAATTTCTGAAAAGCTAATTTACTCGTTTTGAAATAGCTTTTTTCTGTAAAAATTTTTTTATTCCTTATATGCCCTTAAAAATTTATTATAAATTTTCCACAAATAAATATATTTTGATTATTTATTAATTATATTAGAATATTTTATTATATTATAGTTTTACTTTTATAAATTTAAAATAATTAATTTTTATATAAAAATTATTTTAATGGTAAAATATATAAATTTATTAAAATAAACATAAAATAAAAAATATAAATATTAATAATTTTTTTTTTATTAAAATTACATTATATAAATTTTATACTAAAAATAAATTAAATTTATTGAAAATTATAAATATAATGAACTAATCGATAACTAACATAATAAATATATACATGAAAAATTTATTATTTTATATTTTACATCATTTTCAATAAATAAAAACTATTTATATATTTTAATAAAAATATATTATTTTTTAAATCTAACTATAATAAAAATAAATACTTTTATAACACTTTTACAATTTTCAATAATTAATAGCAAAAAATTTAAACATTCAAAACTCAAAAAAACATAATTGAATATATTGGAAACAAGAATAAAATAGAAATGTCCTCGATTGTTATTTTACGTATAAACAGCTAATATCAAACGGTTATTTTACCAAACATTTTAATACAAACAACTAATCGAATCAGCTAGTTAAACTAGCTAATTGAATCAGCTAACAGCTATCAGCTAATTACCAAACACGCCCTAAATAAACCCAATAAATTAAAAATTACTTAATATAGACTTAATTATAATCCAAATAGTTATTTTTAGACGTTTAAACCACAATCGAATTTTTTAATCCAAATATATGTCATATCTACGCTATAAGCAGGCGATGGAAACAGAACTCCAACGGCATTAGAGCAAGTAAAGCTACACTGTCTGTCAAAAGCATATTTCCTCATTCTTCAATTCAAACTATAGAAATATATATATATATATATATATCTCAACGAACCTACACATTTTGGTTTTAGTAATATCTCCATGATTCTTACAACCATATTTCAATTATCTTAAACTAAGATTTTCTACTTGTACATCAAGAGGAGGATAGGCAGGTTGGCTTACCGATCGGCAGAGCCTCTGAGGCCGCTGAGTAACCGGCGACGAATATCGGAAAGGTGACCCCATCAACGATCCATAAGCCCCTTGGCCGTTATCGCGAATGCTCTCGCCCATTGATGTCGCCCTGCGACTGTGATGCTGCACAGACATCGACTCAGCCATTAGACGCTGTTTCGTGGCATCGTCTACGTATAACAAATCATCGATCCTCGACATCAAGTTGAAGGCTAGGCTCTCCATCACCCTCGAATAGCTTTCCAAAATCGACTGCCCGACATCCTGCATGGATCAAGATTTAATTTTTCTAGCTCCGAATCGAATTTATGAAAAATCGAAAAAAGGGCTATGAGAATCTAACTTTGTTATACTGAATCTTGTTCATGTCAAGTGTTGTTTGTGGGAGGCCTGGAAAGTGTTGCTTTAAGCTCTTTAGGAGGGTTTCAGCTCTGTGTGCAAAAAGTTTGCTCTTTTCTGAATCACTGCATAGCCCTTTCACAGCAGTTCCCCAAAAAGAGCTCGATTTCGAATGATTGAGCTTCTTTTTTTGATGTTTTAGCCTCCATAAGTGTGTCGCAGATTCGATCCTATTTGCGATCTCCAACGTGCTGTACTCTGATGAAAGGTCGAGGCAATCCAGCAGACAATCGACAGAGAATTGATCGGCAGTTATGTAACGGTGGATGATTTCGCCTAAACATGCCTTCTCACTCTGAGAAAAAAGAACAGGATTCTCGATGTAAATTATAGAGTAGATCAGTCATACAGAAAATGCTGATTTTCAAATACCTTTGGTAAGCTATCGAGATAAAGTTGTGGCACCTCCATCTCCGCGAGGACGCCGCTGTTGATTGCTACGGCGGCTTTGAAAATCTGAAGCGTACATTCTTTGCAGTGCTGTAATCGATTTCTTGTCTCCTCGGATAAACCGTTTGCGGGAACTTTTGGGAATGGCAGCCACCATTTTTCTTCGAGTGTTACTGATGGTCTTCTACGTGAAGGTGAACTTGTATATGCCTCGATGTTTTCGCCGCTGGCGACAACTATTCCACGGTCGATGTAGTAGAATTCAGTGTCGCGAAATCCATCTAAGATGCTGATCAACATCCCGTCGAGTTTTTTCAGGGCTGGAAGGTTTATGTATAAGTCGGATCTCTGGTGAGGCACCATGATCTCAAAGCTCCCTCCGCCGGGGAATTCTTGAACCGATGGAACGAGCTCTACAATGGAGTCGCTCACACACAATAGCCAATCCATCTCTCGCTGCCACATCGTCTTTTTCTGTGGTGCCAATGGCTCCAACTTCCAGAGCTCGCCGAAAACAGTAGCTATGAAATTTCATTTTATGAAGGAATGTTAACAAGAATCGAAGGCAGTGATAAGATGAACAAATCAATGTAATGTATCTGGTTGAATTTAGAAGCGTGTGAAAACATTCGAACCTGCAAGGTTAGTGATTGCATTGGAGATTGCCAGAGCAGTGCTTACTCCTTTTCCTCCACCGGACATGTCCTCTCCTAGCAAGAGTTTTGCAAATCGTTCCTTCATCAATTCTGCCTCTGCATCAGAAAAAGGCTAATGAATTCAACTCAGTAAACGAAAATTCAACTGATGTCTTCCAGTGAAGTATGAACAAGCGAGCCTCAATAGGTAATTGACCTCTGCCTCTTCGTTTCAAGTACTGCTTACCGTGTTCATCAATGGCGTTGTACCGTCTACCACTCTACCTAGACCTAATCTACAATTTGCTGCTAGCTTTGGAGATAATCAGGTAAAATTTATTTTGCCTAATCAGTATGAGGTAGAGGAGTACGAAATGCTATGAAAATGCTAGCAACAAAATGTATGAATGCAGATTGATTTTTAAACTTATCTTTCCCCCTTTTTCGATTTTATTAGTAATCAGTATGCTTCTGCTACTTTGCACTACGTTTTCGAACACAGAGCGGTTTATATGCCATTGATGAGTTTATTCATCGATTTACTTTACCAAACAAAATGTAACGTTGATCGGACGATCAAAATTGGAAGGAGAACCTCACCGGCTACTTCAGGCGTGTCAGATTTCTCTCTGCCGCTCTTCTCCGCCGGAAAAACGACGTGCCTGCCTCCAACTACCGGCAACATGATCGGCGGCGGCGGAAAACACTCCGAACTAGAATCCAAAGCCGTCAGAGATGCAGCAGTGCTGGCCAACGCCAGTCGACGATCAGAAGAAAATGTAGCGACGCTCGAAGTCGAACTCTCCGACTCACTGACATCTGCGCTCAAACTGTAACCGTCTTCGAAGCCGCGGGACTGCAGATCCTCGAACTCATCATCCGATTGCGAAATAACACCGGAATCCATCTCCCGAACCGAACAAAAACACAAAAAAGGGCTGCAAAAACTTACATCAATCTCAGCCTTCAACGGCACAATTTCAACATAAACAGGCTGGAATCATTGAAGACCGAAAAGCCGGTGCGGAATTGGAATGATTTCCGAAGAGAGAGAGAAGAGAGAGACAAGGATAGGGAAAGGAAAGTGAAGCAATAAAGTAAAAGCGAAAGCAGTATGTTTGATGGAAAGGTGTATTGTATAAATGTGCAGTAGGAAGAGTAGGAGAGTGAGTACCAAATTACCAATACAACAGATACATACATATATATATACATACATATATATATTGTCCGCAGACGGCGGCCCCACCGTCACATGGTGGTGGCCGCCTCTGTCCGGCAAACAGTTTCGCGTCGGAATTTGGGAGAATTTTCACCGAATCCATGGACCTCAGCTCCCAATGTTATGGATACATTGTGGACTTTCGCACCGTCATCCGGGTCGTCGTTTGTTTCAAAGATTTTGATAGAATTTTATGGGATTTGGATTTTAAAATTTCATGAAATTTATGTTTGGTTTAAAAAAATAATGGAATTTAAAATAATAGATTTAAAAACATGTCCAAAATCCTACAAATGAAGAATTTATTTTTAATGGGGTACCTCTATTACTTTTAAATCTTATTCAATGGGATTATAAATTTTACTTTTATACTCTTATATAAAACAAAATATTATATATTATAAATATATTTATATAAAATTAAATTAAATAATTTTAAACTTAATTTTTATTTGAATTATATATTAAATTAAATTAATACTATTATTTTTTATGGTAAAATATTTTTTAAATAAATTAATAAATTTATTGTTTTAAATTGTTATTTATTATAAATTTTATTTAAATTATAAAATTATCAGAACGACAATAAATCGGATTCAGCCGGAACTGAGATCTGTCCCGAATATATATTGTTAGACTTTAGATCCAAATTGGATCTGATTATACCAGATCCGGCCGAAACTATACCCGGTAAAATCCGACAGATCCAATTCTTTTTACAATTCTTAAATTTTAATTTAAAATTACACATGTACCGACCCAATATATATTATTTATGTATTTTATGAAAAAAAATATTATAATAAAATAATAAATAAATTAAACTTAAAAAAATATTTTTAATATAATTATATTGTTAGAAATTATTTTTTCATATGTATAGTCGATATATTATTAATATTATAAATCGAATCTGGGTGCGGGTATGGTCCGCTGAGACCCTAGACCCGATTCGGACCCGATTAGGATACCCATAATATGACCCGGATCAAGATCTAATACTCAAATAATTGGACTCAACTTCAAATAAATAGGTCGGGTTCGAGTCGGGTTTCGAGTTTACGATAACCTATTGTAATCCTTATAAAATTATTAATACATTTTCAATTTATATTTATTATAAATTAGATGTTTAATTTATCAAAATAAATAAAATTCATAGGGGGGCAATTATGTCATTTAGAATATAAAAAATCCAAATATTTCCGCTCATATAAAAAACAAATAAGACGTGAGAAATATAAATCCCACATAATTTTACCAACCAAACATATGATAGGATTCCAAATCCTAAATATAATAAATCCTATCATATATAAATCCTACTGTGAAATTCCAATCCCACAAAAAAAGTCCATCAACCAAACATCCCCTCAAACTATTTTCTTTTTAGCGTGACTTGCTTGTCGGGCCAATGCATTCTTCCGACTGAGAAGTCATTTACAGAGTATTAGGTTTAATATGGGATTTGTCCGTATATACTTTCCGCCAGTGACTTCTTTCCAACATCATAAAAAAAAAAATAATAATAAAAATATAAATTAAAAAATAAAAATAAAAATAAGTTTTCCACTAATTTTATTTTTAAAGGGATTCTAACATTAAAAAAATATAAAATAAAGATAAATTTATTTACATTCGTGTTATATATGTCTATTCATTTACTTTTTTTTTTTTTAAATGGAGTTTTAGAAATATTAATATTATATTGGAATGCAGTAAAAATAAAAAATAAATAAAATAAAATACTATCATTAGTATTATATAATATAAAGATAATAATATTTGTATAATATATTGTAAATTGAAAAAGTACTGTTAAAAAATGGATAGATTGTTAAAGCCGGAGGCACTACGTGTTTTTTTTTTCCCTACAAAATTCATTATATTTAATTTATTGTAGTTTAACAATAATTTGGATGAAATCATCATTTCATACGTAATTAACATAGCGTTCAAACCGTGATGTTTGTGGCGATTTTATTTGAAACAAACAATCAAAAATTTAATTTTCCATTAGAAGTTGAATTATTGACCTATATCATACTTATTTTCAAATTTTTTGGTAATTTTTCTTTACAATGAATTATTTATTTCAAATAAATTATTTGCACCTATTATGGTATTTTGGTCTTTTTATGAAATATTTGAGAGTACTTTTTTTTGTAATACACACAAAAACAGTGTATTGATTTAACAGTTAGTTATGGGCTGAATAAGAATTTCATATGAATTTTTTCATATTATAAACTATTAAGTATATAATAAAATAAATATCAAAAAAAATATGTGCAAATAAGCATATAACATAAATGTCTGCCCTAATAATCATAATAATTCCGTAATTATATACATTTTTTATTTAATCCCAAATTTTCCCTAAATTCCTTAAAAGTCGCTATTACTGATTCCAATAATGCAATTACTCAAATTAAGTACCAATTAAAGGAGATGAAATTAATTTCAAAAATAAAAATATTATGTGAAATATATTTTATTTTATTGTTCAAAGAAAAGCAGAAAAAGACGGATCAATTTTTATTTTCATTAGAATCTTTTGTCAGAATTGCAATATAAATAAAAGCTATTTTATCCAGATTTTGTCATCCAAATTTTAAATACATTTTAATATACTTCCTCTGTTCACAAAGACGTATTCTTTTGTTTTTTTTACGCAATTTTAAAAATATTAATATTATATTGAGATATAATAGAAATAAAATAGAAATGACTAAAATAACTTTATTAGTACGTATGATATAAAGGTAATGACATTTGTGTAATATATTGTAAGTTGTAAGGGTATTTGTAATATTAGGTAGATAGTACATGTTACTTGAAAAAAAAAATGAATACTTTATTATGAGACAGACTAAAATGAAAAAAAAAAATAATTTGTTATGGGACGGAGATACTATTTGTTATGTTTTCATATCATCCATAATGTACTGTAAAATAATACATATAGCCACTGTGTAGCCAGATCAGGAAATTAAACTACAAATGAAATCAATTGCATTATTATTAACCCAAAAGTAATTTGCAACAGTTACTCTACAGTTTCAGTAAAAAATTATTGCTTGAAATTTATTCAACTTGGTCAATAATTTCAGTTACTAATTAAATCAACACTCCCAAAATAACATAGATGGAATTTGAAATAAGCTTTTTATTAACAACAGTAAAGGGTATAGTAAATGTCTTGTTTAATTTATGAATTTTTTTTTATAAAAGTATTTTATAGTACTCCCTTGTTCCAATATTTGTTTATCATTTTTGTCCGTTTCAAATCAATAATTTTATTTTCATAAATAATCATATCACCATAAAACTACTTTTTTATTTTTATTACATAATTGTCACTACTAAATTTTTTTTTTATCCATACTTTTTACCAACTACCAATATAATATTCATATTCATTAAATCCCGTGTTTAACCCAATTAAGACTATATTTATGGGACGGAGGGAGTATAATGTTTTGACAATACAACTATAACATTAATAAAAAGTATCTTTATATTTTTACGGTGATAAGTTATAAAACATCCATATACATATTGTTGAAACGTGACTTGGATTTAGCGGTCTATTCGACCAAAAACCAAAACGAAAGGGCTGTTTCAATTGACAGAGTTCCTTTTGGGCTTATCCTAATTAATAACAAATAGGCTTAGGATTTAGGGTGTTTTGGGGTGCTTATAAATAGATAGCTATGGTTCTTAGTCGGATGATATAACTGTAAATCTCTGAATCAGTATAATAAAATCTCTCCGGTTCCTTCCCGTAGACGTAGGTTGACACACCGTCACCGAACCACGTAAAACTCATGTTTTCTTTATTTTCTTTCTTTCTCGTTTTCTCATAACACATCTAAAGTATAGTGTGTATAAATATATATATATAGATATTATCATAGTGTGGGAATGTCCAATATGTCACAAAAATATCTATTATTATGATTCACCAAATGATATGTTACGAGATACCTATCTGAAGTAACATTTTCATCCACCCTTTAATACATGGTTAAGTGATCTCATGAAACGTTTCAAAAGTATTTGTTGATGCATACTAATATCTAACAAAGGTGGGGGTGATGAAATCATCTGACAATCGTCTGATCTAGCAATAATCAATGACAAATCTTCGACAAATATTTAAATACCTTTGTTCACAAAATTATACTTGTATATAAATATGAATGCTTTCATACACGATTACGCAATTCTTTTAACTGGATATGTATACCTTTGATCATAATGAATATACTCCAGGAACATAAAAATATACTCATTTTTTTTTTATTGTAACAGCTCTGTCGAAAAAATTAAATGTCTGCATAAATAAATATGATTTATGTTAAGGTAATTTCAGATAAACAATAAGGGTACACTATGGGTCATAGTATACCATAACGAGTACTTATGGCCTCCACAATAAATATTATATGCGGCTCAAAATCATTTCGTAGGGGAGCATAACCAGCTTTGTTGAAAATGGACATCCATTTTTTCTTTTTGTACATCGGATATCTCCGCACTACCTATAAGAAATTTAATTACCTTGTAATACATGTCATAATAAATGACACATGTATTCAAGACATACGTGAGTGCAGAAGTTGTCCGCTGGGTGCCAGAGACAGTATGTGTGGTGGGCTCCGGAAAATACGGCAGGGATGGACTTTCAAAGTCTCGAATGTCTTCGAAAAAATGTATTCTTTCTATTTATATCAACCATCAACCTAAATAATGGAATCTAACTTCCAGCAAAATCATTATCAATTTTCACATTTTTGGCAGACCCCGCTGCATAGCAGTAAAAATTTAACATTATTCAATATACAAGTACATTAAATAAAAGTTCATAAATAAGTAGTCATGGTGTATATTTTAAAAAAAAATACAATATCTTTAAGAACATAAAATTCTGCACGCATGAAACATAAAATAGGCATTGAAAATGTCGTGTTTCTGCATCCACTTCACAATCCATTATTTTGTCTATATTAAAAAAAATATATACAATATCTTCAAGAACCAAACAA